ACTTTACCCGACAGCAACCTAACTATAGGAAGTTCTATTGAAAACCAGGGGCGTTTAATATGCTTGAAAGCTATGAATGACCAACTTGGCGTTAGTGAGGCTGGTTATGAAGGGTGATATCCTTCTATTCCATGGCTCTATTGCAGAATAAATCGACCTAATTGCAAATTCAAGCTGATATGCTGTAAGAGAGAATGATTTCAGGAAGCATTTACGGTGACCCATAACATTCAATGTTCATCTACCAGACAGGCGCTGCTTATAACTAATAACCAATAATTCTGGAGGACTTTATCATTGTCAATAGGTAATGTTCGAGTATATGATATCTCATCGTAACGTGTAACATATATATGCACATCATAACGTCATCCATTCAGGTCTCGTAGTTATAACCGCTATGTCAAGTACAAGACTAAATTTCCAAGTGTTGTTACACTGAGGAGATTTGGATAGTGTTCTCATTAAAATAACCCACGAATGGATAGTTAAGAAATGTTTTAAGCATTTTCGTTTTCATTCTATTACGTAAATGGATTCTGAAAATTTATTCGTTTGTATTATATTACGTTAAGTGCATTCTGAAAATTTTTTGAGCTTAATAAGGAGTATTTTGTTAAATCTGCTAATCTTAAATGGTCTCCATTTATGCAAAAAAAATGCAATTTATTGAAATTAATTCAAAATTCCAAGCATTGTTATAAATTTTTTAAACAAGAAAGATACAATGTAAAACACAAAAACTAGGCAATACTTTGCAAGAATTTGCAAAGTATTGCCTAGCTTGCAAGAATTTTAAATTAGAGTCAATTTTGATGAAATCTCATTATTCTGGTTTTTCACGAATAAAAAATATTTTACTCATGAAGATGGGCACACTCGTCACCAGAAGCTTGCTAAAAGGTCCTAAACCAGTGTCGAATGGTTTCACCATGTCGGCAGTAACAAATAACGCACTGCAATTACTCTAAGAAAATATCCTCAGCAAACAACAAAATGTTCCCATGCTTAAAAAGAGGTTCCATTTTCGTACAAGGCTGTTTTAAAAAACATTTAGCTTTCGAGAAGCGTCCAACAGTTTTTGGCGCGCTTTCTGTCAACAACTTTCGGTTTCTGGCCATTATATATAGTATAATAAATCTTATACAAAATTAAAAATATTTGATTATTTTGAAACTATCAGCCTTACATTTAACCAAATATCGAATATATTTCCTTTAACGTTTTGCTTGTGTCGGCCGTATTTGTATATTTTATGCACAAACACCTACACAATAATATTTTGGTGATGAAATTTTAATCTATCTTCACAGTGTTTGCATCACTTTTACAATTATCCTTTAATTTTTGATGGCCCACTTACGGCTAGCGACAAAGTCACTGAACACTGGTAGTTTAACCTAGGCCAGAATCTGGATGAACGGATTAACTGCACAGAGTATTTCGTCTTTTTTTCAATGTGTAACATGGATACGAGACAGTTTCTCTTACAAAAGCCTCTATGAAGTCTTCTTTTCCTTAGGCAGATAACCTTCGTGTGTTTTACCATAATCAAATAAACGGAAGCAATCGTTACGGTTTGGGCATTACTGTGCTAATCTCTTTGTATTTCAAACATTTTTAATTAAAGATTAATATCAATATCCTGAGTTTCAAAAGATTTCTCGTACTAGTATGCAGATCGTTTTCAAGTTCCTCGCAAAGGCTGAGTAAATTTAACGAAATTTTCATTCCGTGTTTATGCTGAAAAGGGTTTATACCTTTGAACTTTATAATCAATAATAAATTTCTCAAAGTATCATTTTTAGTGCATTTGCCAAATTATGTTGATTTCTTTTTTCAATTATTTTCTGCATCCCTAATTTAATAACTATCTTTATAATTTTATTTCGTGTGTAAGTTATGGTATATCTACAACTAATAATATATCTTATGTTTCATATACACTAAAAATTTGCATCTGCTGTCTTAATGAACTGAATAAATTGTCCACTGGGGTGCAAGATTCTAGCTAACTTAACTTTACTGGATAGATTTTTATTTGAGTGAAGCTACTATTCACTAAGTTCCAACTGTGTCAATGAAGAAACGTAAGAAGGATGAAAAGTCGTTTTTATTCTACTCAAGAAGGAATTTACAGATAGCGCTCCCGTTGCGTACAAACTTAGCCAATACTTTTGGATGCAACTCAGATATGAAATATAAAATTAAAAGTAAGTTAAATAATCATCCGAAGCTGCGCAGAGGTAATTAACGCGATTTGGCTCTTAGCCCTACCACCGACGTAGACAAAAAGGCAATTAAGGTGTACGACCGTAAAGCAACAATCTTAAATCAGCGAAACTACGCCGGGGAACGGCAGGATACGCTCTGTCTAAAGTAACTCAGACACAAGTTTAATTAGTATCTTTCTACCCTATTGTACAAATCACTGGAACCTAAAATATCATTCTGGCAGGAAATGGAATTGAGGGAAGATAGAAAAGATAAGTAGCTGAACAAAACTGGTTAGTTTAAAACTAAATGATTCTTTACAAGGTCATGTGACAATTTTTAACATCAGAATTTAACTCTTTTTGCTCTGAAAATCAGATAAATTTAGAAAATTCCCTGGCCCCTCAGATTCTTAACCCGCAGCATTTTTTTTTTTTTTTTTTGTTATTCTCAAACGATTTGGCCCAATGGACACTCACTGAATGATGTTAGTACAGTTCATTTAACACTGTGTTCACAGTATATATTCCATTATTTCCTGTTACGTTTCTTCTTTACCTGCTTTGCCAAGACACATGTTCTCAATTTTATTTGTGAATTACAAATTGTATTGAAATTATATTACAAGTTTAATATGTCTCTTAAAGTATTATTTTTAATAAATACTGGATGTGTGGTATACGATGGGATTGCATGATGCACTATAATTTTAGATCGTTTGGGAAGCTCCAGATGCTCTTCTCATTTTCAGTCAAACTCAATTTTTTGTGAGCTCTTATAAAGCTTGAAAATTTTAATTTAAAATTTTTTTCTTAATTTTTTGTGCGAGACGGAACTAGTTAGTGTAAGAAGTCATAACTAGTTGACCTATGGTGCATCACCCAAACCTTTACCTATAACAATGGTTATTAGTGCTTACAAATAGTTCCCGATTTATAATGTGGCGAATGATAATTCATAATCACCAGGAAATTTCGATTAGGTCTCTTTCTTTCAAGTCCCCCTTTCAGTGGAGGAGAGTATAAGATATTTTCTCTCTTGTTACCGCGTGTTTTTGGGGTGTAACTGGAAAACACGTACGGGTATCAATACGGCTAGACCCGGAGTTCGAATCCCTACAAAAGCATTGCCCATTTCTCCCGTGATCTGTTCCGAAATAATCTGTCAAATGGTGGCTACAAACCTTGGTAAGCGCCCACCAGCATCGAGCGGTAAAATCACTGAACTCTAGTATTTCCGACATGGGCTTGATTCCGTGTGAGCGGGCTTTCTGTATAGGCGTTTTCGTGGTTATCCCCATGTGTAACCTATATACGAGCCAGTTTACCTTACATAGTTCTCCACAAAGGCATTCTTCCCTTAGGCAGATAGCCCTAGTGTGCTTTGTTATAATCATCTAAACAAACAACCTTGGTAAGAGCAATCATTAATGGAATTGTAAAGATTATGAAAAGTTCAATATGAAACATGCCTAATCAAGAAAGATTACTTAGATTTTTTTAAATGAAGCACCAGACAATTTTCAGTTTTATTTTGATTTATTTATTAGTCTTTGACAGTCTCGAGTTGAATTTAATGTCTTTTGTTAGAAAAGGCAGATGCCAAATGTGTGCGTCAATTTTTTTCATTAATAGTAGTTCTGACTTGATTAAAACATAGTTATCAGCATTATTGCAATATCACGTTTCTATCATTTCTAAACTAGGTTTTTAAACAATCGTCAGAAAAGTAAAATTTTGAGAACTGTATTGTAGATTAACTTTATTAAATACACAACAGAAAACCAAATGCAAATTTCGGAATGTTTTCTGGATTTTCAGGAATAATACAAGCCACGATAAATCACAGCAGCACTATTAGAAAAGCGTCGCTAAATGTGTGATGAACAAGCCAAAGTTAACCGCGTTTACGTAAATACCTCCGACGATATTTAACTCAGTTACTTTTAGGTTGATGCAATGTTTGTTTCATGAATGTTCCTTTTACGTGGAGACCAGATAATATAAGCAAAACTAAAAGACATGTGTACGCCCCTGGAGTTTCACATTCACTGAAATTTCAATATTCTAAAAATTAAGTACGTAATAAATTAACTATAAGTGAACATATTTATAGAGATGCTAAAATGTTAGATAATAGTATAAAATGATTAAGGTGACGAGCTTTCAACAAGTTGATAACTTTGGTTTTCAAATTTCATTGCAGTTTATGACATTTTTCTCCCTATAATTACATAATTATTATATCAGAGAATAATCTTTGCAATAAACAGTGATTTCAGTGATATAAAATATGATAATAAATAAAAAGAAATGTGGCATTTTCAGATTTCAGTTAAACATAAGAAAATTACATTCATTTTATTTGAATATGTAAATTTGTAATATGTTTCGTAAATCTTACCGAAAAAATTACAATAAAATTTAGCACTACGGTATCTCTTCAGTAAGTTTTAGCGTTCCTCGTCCTACAGTTCTATTGTAAAAATATATGTGTGGTTATAGCTAGTATCTAATTTTCAAACTTATCTGAAAATCTTTTAATTTCTAAGCAACCTCTAGAGTCTCAAAGACTTTGCACATCTATATACATGCATTTCATATCGCTTCTTTTTTCCAAGAGAGAATGTCTACAGAGCTGTCCACAGAATAATAAATAGCAACAGGGCATATATCAATTTATTTAAAAGTTTTCAGATCAAGAATTAATTCGCTATATAAAGGCGAAACCTCTTTCGAAGCTAACAAAACTGTCGGTAAATTCCATGTAAATGGAAGTGTACTTACTTGTTGAAAAGGACGATATCTGGCTTCCATACCTTATCTGGAGGTAACCTAAGTACGTTGATTCCGCCATAGTCTGCCTCGTCCCATCGAAGCTGGTAATCATCCCACACCTATAAATATGAAATTAAATACTTTAAATGAAAAAAATAATTCGAGGTTAATTACAGAGAAATATACGAAACACCAAATCATACTCTATATAGAACTATGTATTTGACCGTATAAAAAAGATCATAAAGATAGAACACATAAAAGAGGTTACCTGCCATTTGATATACCCAAAATTAACAGTAAGAAATGCGCATCCACATCACATTTAACGCACTATATTAGAGATCATTACCCATTGCCAGATTATTTTCACGAACTGCTTACGTAATGCGGGCCAATGAAATTACCGCAGCACAGAAACTCCCAAACATTACATGGTGAGCTGTCCACTGACGGCCATATACTATCTCAGCCTTCTGAGCGCTACAGATAACAGAATTCTGCATCAACGCTATATTATTAAAAAAAGGTATTCGTCACAAGATTAAGGTAATCCTGGATATTGTGTCAGCAAACAAGCTGTATCCGTGCAATGTTCAGCTCATGTATATTACACACTATCGCTCCTTGTCAAACCACAGGAAAAAAGATACCAGCACAGCGGAATGCGGGATATTCCTCTTTAATTACCAAAGATGACACCAAAATTTTCAATGGCCCCGTTTTATATCACCTGTCAGTTGTCGATAAGTACATGAATACTGTATGTGCCACTTGAAAATTAACGGATAGCTGCGCTTGGTTTAAGAAAAATCTGGTAAGGATTTCATCTGTATTCATGTGTTCTTGTGTTTTTTAATGTATTTAATCAGCATATATATTGCGAAAAATTAGTTAACTACCAAAGAGAACAAAACTAAAAAGGTTATTATTAACCATCTAAATAATCTCTCAAAAAATGGCGCGAAAGGCGAAATACTCCATCTTTCGATCAAGAAGATTTTTATTTTTATTATCTCGAGCAAGATCGTTGAGAAACATTTTACCCTGAATTCTGAGGATCAATCATCTGCACATTTTATTTAATTACTCGTACAAACTGAAATAAATGTGCAACAATTCTTTTCAACAAAAGGGGATATTCTTATACAACAAACTTTATTTATTAATACTATTGTAATAAAAAGGTATTATAAATTATTCTTCAGTTTTACAACAGTTTGTTTTCAAATGTACTGCACATGCAATAGCAACCGATGAATGGAAACTGATGAATGGTTAGTTTCTATCTCACTCTACAGAAATCTAGTAAGCTGTTGATTACACGATACACATCCAAGCAAGTAGTCAGGTTTGTTCCTTTTGTAGTAAGGGCCCTTCAGATACCTTACTCAACACCGCCTGTCTTTCTCCTTTGAGACTGCACCTTAAAGGACTGTATTTTCGTATATTTCTCAAGTTCCAACTTTAAAGGCTCAGGAAGCTTATCACAGTTGCTATAATGACTCCTAAAAGTGAAATACTACAAAAAGTATAGATCGAACGCCACTACTGCGTAGATATTTTCTTACGACCAGCAGGACACGCATAGAAAATTTGCAATCTGGAAGGAAAATCTGGTGAATAAGTGGAATTCTTCATTTATCAGATATTGTTTGTTGAATACGTACTTTAAAAAACCATGTTTTTAAAACCAAATCATTAATAGTAGATCTATATATTAAGCTCTCGCTGCACATTCATTTACAAAATGCATAAGCTTGTACTTTGCTGTTAGACCAGCATGTAACTTTATAACTTCTGGAGGCACAATTAACTCTCGAACGTGCGTCTTCAACACCTAACGTTTGTCTATGAAAGTTATATCCGTAGTACTACTTCTAACACTATAACACTACTAACGTACAAGATAAGAATCATAGGTAAAATGTAATACAAGTTTTATTACCACCTTACAAATAAAATAACGACGCACTTTGAAATTTCTCACTAGCATACAATAAATATGCTTGCAAGTTCGCTAAAATTGAAATATGATTACAGTAAGAACGTCTAGATAGGTCTATAGCACACTTTGGATCGCAACAAAAACTAGCCACTCCTTCAGTTGCATTAATCCTTTCTTAGGTCTATCTTTACTTTACTTATTTAAGTTACTAAAATACTGCAAATACGCGAGAGCTATCTTCCTAAGATGAGAAATGCCTTCGTGGATGACGTTTTGAGGGAAACTGGTTCGTATCCATGTTACACGCAGGGTAAATCACCTATCATGCAGCCAGCTCGTTCGTCTGGAATGGAACTCGGATCAAACAGTATTCAGTGATTTTAAATAATTGATCACTGAGGAGCATCATTATTCTGCAAGCAATTTCCGAGACTAGACAGCACACTCACAGAAGAAATTTCAGTATTTTCACATCCTAGGGTTAAATAAGTAATATTTAATAAATTAATTGAATAAATCATTTGCGCGAGTATCGTGACGAGACAAGAAATGTAGGATAGATATTAATACGAAGCTAACTGTTAGAAAAAGTTAAATCATAAATGTCACAGCTTGCAAAATGCCTTAAATTTATGTACGATTGCCTTTAGTAAATAAGATATAAAAGTTCCTCTGTGACTTTAGAAAGAAATTTTTTCAACCGTATGAAGATTTTAAAACATTTCAAAAACTGAGACCGGAACTTATTTTTTAAGCATACTTTTATCCATTTGTAGCAATTTTACAAAGCTACATTTGTATAAAAATGATTTAACATATAAAATGCACCAGAAAACAGTCGTAAGGAGAGAAAGGGGAAAAATTTCAAAAGATTTATATAGTATTTAAAGTAGATTTCTAAAGTTTTAATTATTTTAATCATTTTAGAATTTAATTTATTAATCCAGCTTTTTGAAATAAAGCAAACCAAAGCGAAAACGAAATAATCTTAGTAATTTTAATTTGCCGCGAGCTTTAATTTCTAATATTTAACATTCTTAAGCAAACGGATGAGCACACACAATTTTTAATCTTCTCACGAATTCCCTTCTACTCAGGGATACCCATAATCCTCTGCTTAACCGCCCTGGAAGAGCATGTTCTCACCTGTTCTTAAACCTTTCTCTCACTCGCATTGTAAGCCAAGAATGAAGACAAATATTTTTAATTACGGCATCATTTAAGCCCTTTGTTTAAATATGGGAGTCGGCATCTATGTAGAAAGGGTTTAAGTGAGTCGTTCGTTGATGCCCTTCAGCTCTAAGTGAAAACTTTTCTCGCAAATATTTATGAATCAAATTCTGGCGAAGTTAAAATGACAGATGGGATTATGCTGCTTTCTAAATCAATTTCAAACTGTTTGATAAATTCTTATCATGCAGAATTATTAATTACAAAATGTGAAGTTTTTATTTAAAGGTGAAGGTTTTATATATGCTCGTAGCGTGAAATTCACCTTAATTTTTTTTTCTTCAAATCCTGTAGATACTAAATGTTAAAGAATTGAAAATTTCTGTAGCTTTTCTTAAAGTTATTATTTATATTATATATTTTTATGCGGTGTTACCTGTCGACTGAATTTTTAAGTGTGTGTTCTACTGCATAATTCGCAAATATTTTCGATCACAGATAGTGCAATCCTCGATGTAATTTTACCAATGCATTTAAATCTTCATGTATTAATGCCAGACAGAAAAACGCGCATACAACCAGATTTTAGAACTTATTTTTGTTACACAGTCTTATAATGATAACATGAATTCGATATTTTATTCAATAATTACCTTTTTGTCTATGATGTGCTAATGATTTAAGAGAATAAAAAACATAAAATATGTTTTTCACATGGATCACACATAGCCACTCTAATTCGCTTACTTTGACAAAATGAATGAAGAAGTGAAATGGTGAGAAGTGAAATGTTAGCTCAAGTTATATCAATAGACTACTTTAACATATCCGATAATTATAATTTAAAGGAGAATGCAGCCGGGAACAGAAAGATCACAACCCAATTGAAAATGATACTGATTAGTTTTTTTTTCTATCGGCGAATAACTTAAATATTTAATTTTGTAAATCCTGTTACTGTTTTTTTTCGCATATGAATAAATACCTTTTATTATCCGTCTGATTGTGATTATCCTCACTGGTACTGAAACGTCTCCTGTTTGTGAAACTATCAACTCCATCTGTCCAGGAAATTGTGAGCTATATATTACAGAGCAGAAAACGTCACCCTCTTGGTCTTCGTTTTTTAACATGAGTCAATGCATATGAATAAATAACTTTTATTATCCGTCTGATTGTGATGATCTTCGCTGATGCTTAAATGCCTCCTATTTGTGAAACTATGAGCTCCCTCTGTCCGGAAAATTTTGAATTGTATATTACATAGCGGAAAACGTCACCCTCTTGGTCTTCATTTTTGAGCACACTGCATTCCTTTACACATATTAATTTTTAATTTTGAAATTTTTATGACGTTTTTGACCAATTTGCACATTGCTTAGCAAGGATTGCATTAGTTAGGTTTGCGCATTAGTTAATATAAGATTTCGGCTCATGATCATGACTTCCAGCGCAAGACAATGTTGATAATCAGAATGTTTATATCAAATAACTGAAATAAGTATCAGACTGGTAAATGCATATCTCTTGTGTATCTCTACTGCAGCTTGCACCGTATGGCTGCTTTCTTCCCTGAGTAAGCTCCCTGCAATAATTGAGAACGACTTACTACTAGTTATTAGCTGAAATTAGTACGCTATTGTAGAAATAAGTTAAATATGTATGCGTGTTTTGTAAGTTTATAAGAAAGTTAGTTTAGATGTTTGAAATTTAGGCTAATTAGGAAAATAATCGGAGTCTTAGCATTAAAGTAACTTATTTACATTTCGAATTTTGTGCGAGAACTCATTTTAGCTTAAGTTATAATTTTAAACCTATACCCTCACCAGGCTTAGTCAGTTGAGTTTTGTGTTAATTTTATATTTGAGTGTGAATATTGAGTTAATAGTAAAACACTGTTAAGATCTCTAACTCGCTAGGTTTCTAAATAACAATTGAATCTCATCTGTATTAATGTTTGTTTTTAAGTGTGCACTACGTGATACATCCACCTGATGGTAA